AATTTAAAAACTTATATATCAGCCTATATGTTTACATTATGGTATCTCTATTACTTTTATTGGTAATCTAATAGGAATAAGCATAGAAAGCATTTGATTCAAACCTAAAAAGAATATATCTCCTGTTTTTAAGAAAGTAAAGTTATGAAGACTGCATATTTTTAATGCTGTCCTGAATTATTATAGAAGTGATACTTTTCATTTGAGTCACAAAATTTAGATGAGAAAAAATTTAACCTTGTCATGGAGAAATTCATTGTCTTTATAATTTCAACTTAATATTTATCATTAAATATTTTGAAGAAAATATTGTGTCATCAAATTATGTATTGGTACTTAGACTCTATTTTATTATGAAATATAAATGAATTTTGTACACATGCTATTGTCTACTGCAGACATTCTTAAACCATTGACAGGATTTGATTAAGTCTGATTGAGTGGAAGGAATGATAGAATTGAATGTCTGTTTCATTTTAGCTTTTAAAGAACTGGTGAAAAAATGTGAAAAGAAATAAGACAGCTTGTAACTTAAACTGTTAAAATGTAGGACATATACTTAAACTCTGCAAAGCTCAACTTTCTTGTTTTTTCAGTGAGTACATGACAGTGTAGATGGTATATCTATGTGCAATTTTGGTAATTAAAGAGATAATTCATATAAAACACTCAGGATAGTGCTTGGTACATACTAAATAGATGTCAGTTGCTTTTATTATATAAATGTTATTGATGATTTGGTTTGGATATGCTAAGTTTATATCTCCTATGTTAAAATTTTTAAGGATATTATGTTTTTATTGAAATACAGATAAATGAATGGATCCTCTGTCTATATTTAAAGTGTCAGTTCTTAGTAGCATATTTTTAACACATATTGTTTATCTGGGCATAACAAGAAAAATGTAACCACTATCAAGTCAGACTACAACAGAATTTCTCAAATTAAGCCTTATTTGCAGTTGGGGGTAGCAAAGTCTTTGTAATGGGGAGTTGACCTGTATACTGTAGGATATTTAGTAAACATGGCACTAGCTGCCCCTTGAATGGTAGCATCAGAAATATCTCCAGACACTACCAAATGTCTCCTGTAGGACAAAAGATGTGAAGGAGAAGGAATCCTGTAGGCTTCTCTATGTGTTCTATAAATATATAAAGAAGTTTTAGTGGGTAGCAGACTGATTCAGTTTTTACCCAGGAAACACAGTGACATCAATTGATAATAGAAAATGTTTATCTTTTGAAATAATTAAAACTAACCTGTGAGTCAGGAATTTCTCAGCTAACAGTATTATTATTAAGTGTCTAATCATTGTGAAAATTGCGTGTCAGGAATTTCTTTCCTGGGAGGGTGTTTGAATTAAATGATAAGATGCTGCCAGTATGCAGGTCTAAAGATACAGTTTTACAAATCATTCCAATGAGATCATAATTGAAGTCATGAGTATTGCTGAGCTATCTTTCCTAGAACAAGAAAAGAGCATAGTTTTCTGTGAACTGAGGTTTGTAAAATGCCCGTAATTTTACAAAGGGAGTCTGGAATGTAACCTACCTTTATTGATCCTATATTGGGTCAGAAAGCATGAAGGAAAACCAAAAACAGTATTCAGAAAGTAGTTTTAAAAAATGGATGGTATTGTCAAATGAAAAATAAGTTTGTTGATAGAAAAAAATTGGATTTTGGGGAAAGTTCTGGTAAATTCAGTTGAAAAGATTTCTAAGCAAAGTGTTCTCTAAAGTGTTGAATATTGTATAAATATTAATCATTATTAGTATTAATATTTTATTAGTATATAAGGAGATGCCACATTAAAAGGAATTAAGAATATATTGAGTAAATTTTATGTTTGAAATATTTACCAAGACAAAGTGATTACTTCTGTTTATTTTAATCTTCTGTATATTTATTTCATTACAAATTTCAAATGTGTTTTGAGCAAAAATTATTTCTGCTTTACTTTCCAGCTGTTTCTTGTCTTTATTATTGGTGGCTGCTGTGGTATGGAAGATCAAACAAACCTGTTGGGCCTCCCGCCGGAGAGAGGTAGTGTCAGTAATACTATTTAATCTTTTGTTTAAAGGTTTCAGGAAATAGGCAACTCTTGTTTAACTAATATGCTCCTTTCAAGTACAATTGAAGTCATTATTTCTTCTTAATACTGAACAATCTAGTATTTTTAAGACATCAGATTATACTATCACTTGCATTTTAAGTCAGTAACTGTAGAACTGTGGTTTTAAAAAATAGTATAAAAATCAGTAGCGAGTGCTAATATTAATTCTGTTACTCAATCTGTAATATCTTTTATGTACTTAGTTGTGCTATATTAATTTATTTTTCATAAGTATCTGCAATTTAAAAGAAAATTCTAAGTGATAAAAATTTTCTTTTAACTTTAGATAACACATTTTCTGTAAACTTACTATAGCATTCTTTTTTGGGGATTAATGAAATATTTTCTATTTTTTGATTATCTGATAATCCAATTATGTTTAAACAGCATAATAATTTTGTATATGTCTAAATGAGCATTAATCATAATATTATAATCTTCAAATTAATAAAAA